GAAATATATTCGTGGCAGGCATTAAGCTTATAAGATACACTTTACTTGTCTTCTCCAAAAACATCCATCATTATAACATGGACTACCCTATACTAGATATACAAACAGAGAATGAAATAAACATCGACAAGTTTAACAACAAATAAATTAAATAGAACTGACAATATTACTCTCAAAATTATCTTTCACATTATAATTTTTCCAAATATGCACACTTGTCTAACCTGAAACAGCTTTTTGTCATACAATAACTAATTCTAGATTTAGGCACAGAATTTGAAGAATCATCCCGTGGTTGATCCAGATGCGGAATCCGAGGATTAAACACACCCACTAAAAAAAAGTAAAAACTACCCCCTCCCCATCGACTGAGGGTAAAAACAATTCGTTTAAAAAAGCCTGGATCCGCCTCAGATCATTAATGATAGCTAATAAACAAATATCCAATCAAACTGACACACAACACTTTTTTCACATTGACATTTATCGGATATTCAAAACCAAGTCAAATACATGTACATGCTTTGTTTTACAAATAATTAAATCAATGGCGTATGCGTCTTTATATGTATCGGAAATCCTATTTTGTTATTAAAAAGATGTATATCATGTACGTGGTTGTGAGTACCAACCTGTTTTATATACATTTTTAAATGAGAATTCAATTAATTTCAGGTCTTACTGATACTGTTCAGGCAGAAAATTCTCAACTTCAAGTCTTGTTTACCAAAGACGTCCTAAAAATCGTTCATCTCGCATGTTTTGAATAAAATAAGAGAAACCTTTCCTGAACACATGCAAGGATTCCAAGTATGCAAGACCATGGACTGAATATGTGAATGTATCTTAGGAAAAACTGTCCTAAATGTATTGCCTTAGCATGTAATCTGACGCATTTGCGTGTTCCTTTGAAATTGTTGTACGATGGTAGTCAGTCATGGATTATGTTAAACGATGAATGCAAAAGTTATTTTCGTAACCAAGTTTTTTTCATATTGCCTGGATCTCACTCAAAGACAGATGCCCCTGGGCATGCCCAGTCGGTTTTCATTTCTTTTCTCCACGCTGACATCTGTATCGAGAGATCATATATCGTTATATGGTCTCCGCTGTATCCAAACGTCCCTCCTCGCTCAATTGGCCTTTTCGCTTGGAAATTTAAAGAAACGACACTTGTTAATTTCGTTTGATGAACTGGTACACCCCCAAGCCTGGGTATTCACAGGACCATTACAACTGGCCCTAATTACAACACTCACTAACACTTTTATTATAACAACAACAACAACGCCATCTACCACACAACAAGCTAATAATCAACAGCCATGACAACCACAACACATACCACTACAGCTATTACTACAACAAATAGTTGATGTCTAGAACTATGAGAACTACAGCTACAACTACTAATACCACTGTTGTATATAGAGAGTCAACTTGTCACTTCAGTATGGCTTCACACAACAGCACGATAAAGGACAGCCAGTATTCATTATATTGAGAATGTTTCTGGTCATATTCATATGTAACCGCAAAGGACATAAACGTGGCGACATTTCGATCTCACACAAGTATCCGCACGCACAAATACAGACGTACAGGAAGGTCTTTGAATTGTTTGGTGTTGTCACAGCAGAACATGTTAACAGTGAGAGTTTGAAACAAATAATCAACAGATTGAAATTCAATAGTCAAGGTTTCATTTTTATCAACTATTTTACATCTTTTGCATGGTATTAGCATGTGTAAAGTTGTAAACATCCAACATTTCAAAGAGTTAAAATTGACAAGAACTTCGATATGCACATCCTTGTCAACGCAAATAATGTGGTGTCATCATCGGGCGTGGGACACGAATTGACTGAGAGACAAATCAAAAACATTCAGTTGCTGGACAAAGCAACAGTAAGAGTTATCCCTCTTCTCAACTTGATCAAGGTGGTCGTCTGATCCGGACAGTTGATGGCCAAGTGGCTGAAGTTTCTAAGAGAAGATTTGTAAGGTAAATGGTTATACCTTTACTTTTTGCAATTTTTCTGTGGTTTCCGTCCAGGCAATCGATCACTCATGATCAATTATTACAGTTGTGGAGGGGCGAAGCTTTTTTAAACTATGTAGTTTCATATTCAAAGTACATGTGTCTCACAGGTTAAACTGTGAATGACAATCATCAGCAAACAAACACTCTCAAGATTCCATTCATTCTTGAAAGCATTACATTTATGCCACTTTTGGTCACGGGAACATGAGTAATAACATAGTAAAACATCTCTTAAAATTAGCAATATTCAACCATTGCATTCAGATTCTACTTACTGGTTTGAAATGTGATTTACTATCATAATCCTAGAAACAGTCTTAGCTATCTATCGACTGTAGATTTTAAAGGGGTTATCACACTGTTGATTGAGGAGAGATGAGAAATATTATGGTAAAACATCTCTTAAAATTAGCAATATTCACCCCTTAAGCTTGCATTCAGATTCTGCTCACTTGTTTGAAATGTGATTTATTATCGTAAGCCAAAAAGAAATCTTAACATTCTATCAACTGTAGATTTTAAAGGGGTTATCACACTTCTGGTTGAGGATAGATTAGAAATATTATGGTAAAACATCTCTTAAAATTAGCAATATTCACCCCTTGCATTCAGATTCTGCACACTGGTTTGAAATGTGATTTATTATCGTAAGCCAAGAAGAAATCTTAACATTCTATCAACTGTAGATTTTAAAGGGGTTTTCTCACTTCTGGTTGAGGGGCCATGAGAAATAATACGGGGACACATCTCTTATAATTAGCAATATTCACCCATTGCATTCAGATCCAGTTAAAAATCGGTTCACTGGTTTGAAATGTGATTTACTATCATGATGATAAACAACAAACAAGCAACAAATAAAACAAACAAATACTCCAGAGCAGGGTTACTTGCCAAAGACCACAACGGGTATCATCCCCTTTAGCTTTCTCTTATTTCTAACGAGAATGTGCATACTAATTATTGGAACAGAAGCTTGTTTGTGGAGCAGAGCAAATCCCGAAAACTAATTATATATCTGGGTGACCATGAGGCCCAGTGATACTGTGTTGATAACATGCAGTAGTCACTGAAAAAACATTTCCATGCCCCTACACCTGAAAAATATCTTGAAATTTAACTGTCTTAAATTGTGCATAATAATACATAATTGCAAATACGCGACATAGAATATAATATAGTTTTGCCCTGAACAATTATAGTCAAAGCACGAGGATATGCAGGTAGGGCAAAAGGTATTACTTTTCTAAGATGCCGAATCGTGTGTGTTATTTGAGATTAGTTTAAAATCCAATCTATAATAAGCGGCGCCGTAAAACTGACGGACTTGTACATCTAATTGCCCGCACCCACAGGTAAGTGGAAAAAAAGACGTTTTCGTGTATATAATTTGTTTAATTTAACCACGTAACGTCAGTATACTGTCTGATTTATTATCACAAGTCAAATGTCCGTGCGTGTGCGCCAACGCATATAATCTAGATTTTCAATTAATAATTGGTGTTTCGGTATTTACAATAAAATGATAACAAGCATACAGACGGTGAAATTATGATTACGAATATACGAGATAATAATGATGAGCGAAATAACATTATTTATATCAAATCAAAACCAAATAAATGTTAAAATGGGCTAGATATTGTATGGATGACAACTTCTTTATATTTTCATGAAGCGACGATTCGGTATAGATCTTTATGCCGTTGTCAAGCAAGCGTTGAGTAAGAATATACAGTGTTGATGGGATTAATATGGAACGGGTTTTGTTGCTCCTATTTACAGATATAACACTACTGTGCCCCTTGACAATGAATTTAATGCAGTTTACGATAGCCTTAAAGACTCATATGCAACATGCAGTTTTGCTCGAAATAGACACCAGGTATTATTGAAAACAATTACTAACCTTTTCTTGAGACTGTGGACGGTAGGCTTGAAAAAAAATCTGTCTGATTCCAAGTTTGTCACAGAGTGAATTCACCATGCCCTTTAACTCCCCAGCCTGATCAGTTTGGAGAATTGTGGGAGCACCTCACTGCTGATCTTAATATACTGAACTCAGTATCTCGTGTGACCGGGCAGCGATCACGGTTCTGCATTTCCTCGGTACTGACTTGATAAGTGTACGAATTCTGTCCTGCGGAATTCTACGCCATTCTGCTTGTAACGTGTTGGCCAGTTGTGGGAGTATCTGCGGCGTGTTCTGACGTTGACGTACACGTCGATCGAGTTCATCCCTGAGTTGTTCGATCGGGTTGAGATCTGGAAATCTCGACGGTCAGGGCAAAACGTTGATGTCGGCATTATGAAGGTAGTCCATCGTGTCACGAGTTGTGTGCGGTGGAGCGTTGTCCTGTTGAAACACCTTTCTCTGGCGGTCAATGATTGAAAGATAAGTGTGAAAACAATGCCGTTTAAGACATTGCAAATCGACAATCGCTTGCAGTTTGACCCACCGTTTGTCGAATATCAGACCACCAACATTTTCTAATAGCATATATCCAATTTATATGCCTGATTTTTTGTGTAGTCAGGTTCATTGAACTACATAATACTACTACTAATAATAATAATGAGTCCATTTGTATGGCGCAAAACTCCATACCAGCTCGTGTGCTCATGGCGCTTACATTATTACCCCAGTCAATGGATCAGTGAGCACTCGATTTGCATTCTCAGATCCCTGCGGAGTATACAATCCATGCTGCCTGTGAGGCGCTAGACGGTTAACAGCCACATTATAATTACCATCTCATCCTACCGGGTACCCACAAACTGCTGGGTGAACAGAGACACATTTCGAACAAAGTCACTTGCCAAAGGAGACACCACATGTGGTACATGTGCTTCAGTGTTGGGCAAGACCGAAGCCCTAGAAACTCTCAGGAGTCAAGCTGCTGAACGTGGCCATGCTCAGAGACTGACGTTGCTTAACTTCACCTGATTACGTACTACGTATGCGTTTCTTTTGTTTGGATTGTGTAAATCCTTCATATCCTGCCACACACAAAAACAGGCAGCACGATTTCTGAGTCGGGGCAATAACTCTCAGGCTCATAGCTACGAGGCAAAAGACTGCACGTTGTTTACGAGCAAATGAAAGTCTAGTGACACCATGAGGCTGTTTTACGTTCCAGGTCGTCCCGACCAGGGCGGGATCTCCTTTTGTGGCCACAACGCTGAGCAGGTGTGTGTTGAACGTTCGCGCTCTCTTGCTCTACCTCTGCACAGACCAGGTATATCGCATTTTCATTTATTCCTTATTAATATATACATTTATTTTTATAGTTATTCCCTTAATTATGTAACTCTACTTTATTGCATATTTAGAGATTAGAATAGGTACTATTTATCTTAAAGTTTGTTTCAAAATGCATCTAAAGGGCGAAAGCTTGTTTGATACGTTTTAAGCTACGAGTTGTATAAATGGTATATGACAGATGGGAGTGTAGTAATCTGTTTCTTACATACTCTACCGTCGCACCAATTCAGAATCGAAGCAAATATTTTCTATTCTCATGATCGCAGGGAGCATTAATACAACAGTCATGAGTGACGTCATCCTGTTTACTGCTTACGACTCATATCTCGTGTGACCCTCAACAAAAGTTGTTTTTTTATCATGTCTGTGGATTATCTAGGTGATGGTGATATTACAAACTAGAGAACGTTTATTAAACACACGGAAAGTATACATTTTCGGCACAGACGTAAGTGAATTCGCCCGAAGCACGAGAAACACATCAACGAATTACAATCAGAAAAATACTCCGCCATTATCTGACCTGAGGTTTTATTACCACGGAGTATCCACTCGCGGACCTGGAATTCGATCTCACACATATGCTTGATACTACTTTTCTCATACTCGTTTCTCACCCAAAGTGTGCATATATACTTATCTTAAACACTTTTACAGCTATGGTAATCGTACAACACGATATCTAGAGTAGATGTACACTTTTATACAGAATTGAAAAGGAAATAAAATTGCACGGGGAATACATGTAAACAATATCTTGTAAGCCGACATATTACAACATCAATCTTAAAATATAACAACGATATAATTGACACTCAAACTGAAGTCTGTTCCTGAATCCTTCCATTCGTCCGTCATTAACCACTACAATTTCGACATCTACTCAGCAGCCATATCGACAATGTTTGACTCATTTAGTCACCTGCGCTTATCAGCTGCTGTTCAGTACGTGGTTAGTATGCGAAATACCATAGGATTCAGTTTACAGTAAGCTGGGAACCGTAACATTGCTATAACCTTTGACCATAACATACCACTGTTCATTTATGAACATGATATTGTGTTTGTATGTATGTGTGTGTGTGTGTGTGTGTGTCTTCAAATTTTCCCAACATTTCCGATCATCACGTTTAGTATGGTTGCCTTGAAATCACATTTCGGTTCATGTTTTGTTCATGGGCACATTGTATATATCGTTATGTCTTTGGATAGATGCTTCTATTCATGTTTGTTTGTTTGTTTGTTGTTTAACGCCGCACTCAGCAATATTCAAGCTATATGACGGCGGTCTGTAAATAATCGAGTCTAGACCAGACGATCCAGTGATTGACATCATGAGCATCGATCCTCGCAAAACAAGGACATGTATCAACCAAGTCAGCGAGCCTGACCTCCCGATCCCGTTAGTCGCCTCTTACGGCAAGCATAGTCGCCTTTTACGGCAAGCATGGGTTCCTGAAGAACTATTCTACCCCGGATCTTCACTGGTCTTCTATTCATGTAATTTAAGTATAACCCATGTGAAATCTAATGTACATGTAGTGTGGGTGTCTACAGTGAAGAAAACACTGTAACCTTGATTTGGTTTCTTTGTTTATGGGGCGCATTCTCCGGTTGTCTCATATGCTGCCTTTAGACGTGTAGAGTTGAGTTTGCATAGCGGTCTTGTATCACTCATGCGTCAAACTGAAGATGCATATTTTTTCTCATTGTTTGTTATTTTAAATGATACAAGAGAAACATGTGCAGATCTGAAATGTTATTACCACTGCACTACGGGATGAAACGTATGACCAGGCAAACTCCTAAAACACGAAAAGGCTTTAGTACCAGTATTTCCTGATTGACGTTGAGCGTTTGTCACACATCATTACTTGCTGCATAAAGTGCAAAGTTTTGGCTACTAACCATTGCCTTGTATCGTCCATAAATGACCACCACTACCTTGCACATACTACAGACACTCATTGTTCACCCCATCATGGTTTTTATGCAATATTTAAGCTCTAATGATTTGCTTTCTTGAAGTACGTATGATCAAGTAAATGTTCAAATATTAACATGTCGGCATTGCAGTGGATGCATGTTTCATGTGTACTTATTTAAAACATAGCTGTCTTAAACTACGTCTTTGTGAGGCATTTAGAAGTTGGGGAACTAAGTAAGGATAAGACATATGGATGAACATCTTCTTCATTACAATTAGGAGTTGTACAATTGCAACTAGCAAAGCATTCATATTTCATATTCATATTTCTATCGACCGTCTCCGTGATGTAGTGGATAGAGCGTCTGTCCGGACAGGGGAAGGTCGGTGTTTCGATCCCCGTCCGCGTCATACGAAAGACTTTAGATGATAGTTCTTTAATGATAGTTGTTACCATGTCTGGCGCTCGGTTTTTAGTGGATAACACCAGGAATGGTCAGCTCGGGGCCAGAATACTGTAGTGTGCCCATGCCCTGCGGCACTGTATCTCTAGCACTATCACTAGCACTATACAACTCGACTAGCGCTATACAACTGCACTCCACACATACACTTGCATTCACGTCGCTATATAAGTACACTAATCTCCATTTCACCCCACCTCATATTTCTATAAACTCATGTTAACTTTATCCAAACATGTACCCTCCTCAAATTTTACTTCCTTGTCTATCCAGTTTTACCTTTTGGTTACCGGTAAAGATAGTTTGTATGATTAATGAATAACACTGTCAAAAACACAGCAGCACAGGAGACAGTTGATACCAAAATGAGCACATACAGCGCACACATCTGACACATGACACATGTACATGTAAGAAGAATAAACAAACACTACCCTCGGGCAGATATGAATATGAATGAGGCTTAAGACAATGTGGGAGATGGCCATGACTCATGAACCCGTAAGGTAGGATAAAACTAAAAGCGACTGTAGTTACATTCCGTGTGCCATTTTACACGATGTGTACGACGTTTGAAAACCTAATTATTCACACAACGATACAAAGTGAGCGAGTTCAGTTCAACGCAGCTTTAAGTAGTAACACAGTTATATCACGGCGTGTGGGAGGAAATTATTACACTTGCATGTTTGTCTCGCTTGGGAAAAACAAGAATTCTAGCACTTGTTCCATTTAAATCAGTATGACACACGTTTTTATTCTAATCTCTATTTAAGTGAGTGAGTGGGTTTGTTGGGTTTAAAGCCGCTTTGAAAATTATTCCTATTATACCCACGAGCACGGGTATGGTGCTGACAAACCTCAGAACATAATCGGAGCGAACCAGGTCTCGGACCCACAATCATACTATTAGGTTTCTGGCATGCCCAAGGGACGCAACTCTGCATAAAGGATTGAAGTGCTTTAAACGACTCGGCATTCGTTGCCTCCCGTTGATGCACAGAAGACAACCCGCGACATTTGGAGCGTTAGAACAATAAATCACCTTCTCACCTTACCCTGAAATGCTACATGAGAATGTCTTATGTCTTGTTTCAGTGATTCTAGTTATATTATGGCCGACGACAATCAGAACGCACCATGGACTATTGATAGCGTCCTTCATCTACTTGGCGGACTGGGACGTTACCAGCTGTTTCAAGCTGCGCTGCTTGCCGTTGGAAATCTGTCGTTTTGTTTCCATCTCCTGAACTTCGTGTTCATAGGTATGTTTGTGTTTAGGTTTACGTGAAGACAAGAGCGTGAGCAAACTGACCTTTAAGCGGTCGTCACGACAACAGTACATCTTTGCACAGGCAACCTGTGCAGGTACATTCGGCATTGTAACAGCTTTACCAGAAGCCGAGAATGTAAACACTAATGTAACTACGTCAACATATGAGGCTGACCCACAGACGCCGTTGCTGCAGGTAATCCTTTTTAGTGGTATAAATAGTGACAGTCCCACCTGAGCCCCCTGTTCTGTCATGTATGTGACAGAGTACACCTATTCGCCCCTGGAATCCTCACAGTTAATGTTCCTAGTATAGGCGATGATTGTCACGAATATGACGAAATGCGAAACTCGATAACAAAATATCTAATTAGTGTCGAAAAAGAGTAAACGTGTTTCTAAAGAAATATACTTAAATACATAGCTTCAATTTTGCATTATCCTATCTAATGTGTCACTCACGAGGGGGGAAAGCGTATCGTTTACATTTAATTTGCAAATACACATATTAATGATAAACGAACATCGTGTAAAACAACCTGTTCACTATATATCTATAGCATGGCTCGTCCCGGTGAAAAGGACGAGTGCTTGTCTGATATGTTATTATGCCTACGTTTGTCGTCGCTCTCAATCGTGATTTACCCTGTGCTTTGTCGAGGTATCGTTCACATGTATAATCTGTACACCTGATCTGCCGCGAGAGGACTTTTGAAAAGGTTCCTTCGCTGCGGGCCGTGATTTTAGTGTCCCTTCATGTAGTACTTCACGTTGGAAATACACTGTACATACATACAAGCATACATTTGGCCTTGTCTTATTAGACAGATTAAATCACCACAAGCAAACAATTCATTTATTTGCTACAACGTTATTCATACAAACTATTGATAAGGGGTCAACTGAAGGTAGGCTTATTTTACTAAATGTAAATAAGAAGTAAATATAAATCTGTATTTGTATATATTGTGTTTCTATTCTTGAAAGTACTTGTCGTTCTGCTCCTGACCTTTTTATTGTTTTCCTGTCTGTTATTTAAGGTAACAGCAAGAAATATACTCTATAATATAAGGAACACTCATGTGTTTTTTCAACAGCACAGACCGTGAAACAACAATGTGAAGTGACGCCGCTTTATGGCAACAACAGCAACACTAACTACGGCACCTGTGACGTGTCAGTACAAAACACCACCACCAACGTCACCTCAAAACATACTTGTAGTGCTTGGACATATGATGTGCAGAAAGATCATTCCATTGTATCAGAGGTAAGTGGTAATGCGTTTTCCCGAAATATTTCATATTATAGCAACTTTTGTTAACACGGGACTGCAGCTGTTTAAAAAATATGCATACACCAAAGATGTTATGTAAAATTTCACTTCCCTAAAAATATCGTAACGCGAAACAGGATGCAAATTATGATTAAAAATTGAAAAGAAAGATTGATGATGCTACTTCCTTTGCCACCGTTACGAAGTTGGCAATGGAGTTCATGTGTGAATGAGAGAGCCTACAAAATGATCCAAGATCGTGAAGAACGTCCACTGCCACCTCTGAGCAAATTTTTGTTAAAATACATGAAATGATTGCTGGTGATCGACGGCTCACCACACGACATATATCCATGCCAATACATGAGGTATCTGACAACATTCTGAGGAATGAATTACATGTAGGCTTGAAAAAAATGTCAGCACGCTGGGGTTCCAAGGCTTCTAACTGCTGAGCAGAACCGTTCATAATCCCTCGTGACAATTTATGTCATTATGAAGCAGACCCAACCGATTATGTTGAGGAATTTGTCTCGATTTCACCTCTGTCAGCCAGGGACTAAACACATCAAAAATAGAAACATCTAACGTATCTTCTGAAGAAGGCAAAGTCTGTTCCATCAACTGGCAAGATGACAGCTTCAGCTTTCTGGGATTTCCAAAGGACGCCTACTGATGGACAACTGGTGCAGGAGAATACCATAGCTAGACGACGTGGAACTCTGCATAATGGTGTGCACAAGCTTTTTGTCGCCATGTGCGCCACACATGACTGTAGCTTTGAACTATTCCAACACTTAAAGAATGAATAGTCTGGCAAGCATAATGCAAATATCAATGATATCATTTCTGTCGAGGCACTCCGGTATCATTCGCAGAAGTGTGTGGTGGACCTCAGAGGGGATTATGTAGAAAACTATTTAGCAATCAACTCCTTCAACGCAGTCCATCATAGTTAGTTTCAGAAATGTGCAGCCTTCTCTTTGAGTCGAGCAAGTACCAATTTATTAACCCCAAAATATATTTGACTTTTCAACTTTTCCATAATAAAACAAACCCCTGCTAAAAGCGGAGTCCAGTGTATAATTCCGATTCCAATATCAGATCATCAATATGCCTGATATTTAACTTAATTTTGGGGAATCCCTCGTTTTGTTTTTGGCAAAGAAATATTTTGACCTGTTTGCATACAAAAATGGCTGACCATTCATAAATGTCAGGCGGACGCGCTACGCTGAATAAGCTACTAAAGGTTCTAAGTTCTTGACCTGTTGCTAATTATAACAGTCCGTTTACATGCCGGGGGAACTGGTCTATTTAATTTCAATCATCAATATAACTGTTGAAAAAATACATATACACTGTCTCGTTCCATATGTTAGTGGATGGGCGAGCAAATATTACAGCTATTCGCGGCGATTTATATAGTAGAGTAAGTAATTGCAATATTGTTGATCTCCCCGTACTTCATTCCTTGATCACAATTGCATAATTGTCGAGCTCCTTTTCAATTTCATATAACAAACAACAGGTAGGCCGGTGTAGGAGGATCGGGTTACTACCCGCAGGATACAACCACTCCCCTGATGCTTTACGAGCTACCCGTCGTTCAGATTATGAATATGATGGCTTGGTATACTTCCGATCCTTCCTGTCAATGGAAGGACTGGAGTTGGTACATGTTAACTCATGGACATTGAAATTGTTGCAGCAGCATCTCTTATTAACATATCCATTGTTATCCAGGATTCAGTACGACCCCTTGCTCGTTGTGCGTCGGTAATATTGCAAACATCTTAGTACCATCGTTCAAATATGGAAGACTGTAACGTACTTGTTCAACTGTAAACCAATATATATATATATATATATATATATATATATATATATATATATATATATATATATATATAATGAGAGAGAGAGAGAGAGAGAGAGAGAGAGAGAGAGAGAGAAAGAGGGAGAGAGAGAAAGAGAGATATGCTCATGTATATATTTACGTATATTTTTTATATTTTTATCTTTATGATTTTTTTATGAATCTAAATGTGTATTAAATTGTTCATAAATGCTCATATATATATATTTATGTATATGTGTCATTATTGTAGAGCCGTGAAGATCCGGGATAGAATAGGTCTTCAGCAACCCATGCTTCTCGTAAGAGGGATCGGGTGGTCAGGCGCGCTGACTTGGTTGATGCATGTCTTCGTATCCCAGTTGCGTGGATCGATGCTCATAATGTCAATCACATGATTGGCTGGTCAATACTCGATTATTTACAGACCGCCGTGATATAGCTGGAATATTGTTTTGTACCACGTTAATCAACACACAAACAAAAAATACAAACAATATTTTAGAAGAGTTATTTTTCAAAAACTTTGGGAAATGTTACTTTACTTTACTTCAATGATATAAACTGACGTCCAAAATAAACTTTACCAGAGATTAAAATCACTCTTGCTCAAAAACAACAAAACATACATGCATGAAGTAAGTGTATTGAGAAGATCAATATATCAACAAAATCAACACTGGAAATGACAATCATACCGCGACCGAGGATGACGCCAGAGCCCCCCAAAGTTGGGTGTGGTACAAAACTCGAGCTTTCAGAATCATGGACAATAGGCAGAGTACATAAACAATCGCTCACGTTCAATAACAAGTCATTAGTAGCGTGTGTGACGACCAAATGCCTCAATACACGCAAAAACTCTTCGACGCACAGAAAAAGTCAGTCGTCTGATGAGGTCACGTGGGATTTGAGGTCATTCTTCTTGGAGGGCCAAGATCAGTTCTTGCCGGTTGGCTGGAGAGTGTGGTCGTTGTCGAACACGACGATCCATCAAGTTCCAGAGGTGTTCTATGGGGGACATGTCGGGTGAGCGTGCAGGCCACGGCAGGACGTTGACGTTGTTGGCTGCGAGGAAGTTAGTGACAATTCTGGCTGTATGGGCTCTAGCGTTGTCATGCTGATAAATGACACCACGTGGCTGCTGTTGGAGAAATGGTAGGACAACTGGACGAAGAATGTTATCCATGTAACGCTGAGCTGTCAAGTTTCCGTCAACGATGACCAGCGGTGTCCTCTCCTGCCCACAGATCCCTCCCCCCACCATGACACTCCCTCCACCATATGGTACGACCTCCTGCACGCAACACGCCGCCGTTCGTTAACCCCTTCGGCGGTAAACACGTTGTCTTCCATCAGCCCTAAACATACAGAATCGACTTTCGTCAGTGAAGACAACCCTCTGCCAGTCACGTCGTTGCCAACGTCGTACAGTCCGGGCCCATCTCAATCGCAGACGACGATGTTCCGCTGTCAATAGCTGTCCTCTGTATGGTCTAAAAGCCCTGATTCCATGAGCCCTGAGTCTCCTCGTCACTGTCTGTCGACTAACCCTGTGACCTAAGGCATTTGTCGCCGATGACGTCACTGTCAGGAAGCGATTTCGGAGGTGCAAGGTACGCAAGGACCGGTCATCATGGGGCGTGGTCACCCTGGGTCTGCCTGTTCGCACTGTCTGTCTGTAACGTCGCATCAAGTTGGTAACGGCAACACGGGAGCAACCGAAGGTTCGTGCAATATGGGCGTGGGTGGCTCCCATCTGTACCATACCCAAGGCTCGTTCACGTTGTTCGACTGTGAGTCGTGGCATTTCTTTTGTGTTTTTTTTATCACTGTGGATGTCTCAATCGTTTTATCCCCTTTCCCGCACATGTCCACCTCTGGTTGCGATGGAAGCAACATACCTTCGTCTCTTGGAATGGACCAGGCGTCGCACAGTCCTGTTGGATATCTGTCCATATCTGCTGGAGCATGTTTCGAAGTGTCTGTGGAACACGTGGTTGACGTCGAAGGCGCCGATCCATCTCATCCCACATGTGCTCGATTGGTGAGAGATCAGGGGAGCGAGCCGGCCAGGGGATGACATTCGCGTTTTTTTAACAGCATTAACAAGTCGAGCAATATGAGGCCGGGCGTTGTCATGTTGAAAGGTAATGCCTGGGCCATGACGACGTAAAAACGGTAGAACAACAGGGCTGATGATCTCATCGCGGTAGCGCTTTCCATTGAGATTTCCCTCTACCACTATCAAACGGGTCCCCTGTCTTGCTGTAATGCCACCCCATACCATAACGTTGCCGCCCCCGAACCGATCTTCTTCCATGACACAAACGTTCACCTCGACGTCGAATCCGTCCATCGCTGTGGCTGATGTGAGGCTGAGGTGAAAACGAGACTCGTCAGTGAATAGAACTTGTCCCCACTGCATGGCCGTCCAGCGTAGACGCTGTCTGCACCACTGTAGACGTGCTTGGCGGTGGTTTCCTGTCAAAATGGGACGTATAGCGGGTCTTCTGGCGACATTCCCTGCACATCTGAGGCGACGACGTACGGTTTGTGAATATATTCGTCAAAGGCCAGGGATGCTTCTTGCTGTTGCTGGCTGGGATCGATTTCGTAGGTGTGTTGTTCGAATCCAGTTGTCTTGTCGATTATTGGTTACGAGTGGCCTGCCACTCCGAGGATGGTCTCTGACTTCATTCCTCTTTTGCCAACGTTGCCATAAACACCTAAATGGTATTTCTGTGGACGTTGAATGGTCTTGCAACATCACGTTGACTCGATCCCGCTTCAAGCATACCAATGGCTCGCAGACGCTCATTTTCGGACACGCGTGGCATTTCGTAATGTTGAATAATGGCGTAATTTTGTTGTTTTTCTGAGTGGTTGTTGTCAGCACGATGCTAAACAATGTATATGGAATCCCGTTAACGCACATGTTTTTATACCCATTCTTGGGTAGTGAAATGCATGGGGCTTAAATACAAGTCAACTTTTGCATGGAATGCATGCTTTTCTGTAGCAGTTGCGTTTTTGTGACTTGATTCCATACATGTACTACAATAGTGTAAAACAAACTTTACTTGTTTGAAAAATACACTTAAATATTGGTGTCACAGGAACTTTTGTTGTTGAGTATATATATTATGAACATGGATTAGTCGAAAAATATATCATTGACTAAAATTTCAGTGGAAAAAAATGTGACTCGAGGTTTTCTTTTTCAATGGGACATTGCAACAATTATGCGCGGTTCGTTTGATAATGAGAAACAAAACACCATTCGTCAACATGTGAATAGCAGTCACACCCACAACACATACACACACGATACAAATGGTAACAACTCTGTGGATAATTACTGTGTTATTTTATGTCCCTTTTGGATTATTTTATCCAAAATCAAACAAATGTGTATTTGTATTCATTCCGTGGGGAGTGACTTGATCCTGAGGAGGACTGTTTATATCCTGAAGGGAGAGTTTTGATCCTGAGAGGGGAGTGAATGTGAGGAAATCATTTTAATCATTTAACAACGGCTACCATCCCTAAACTGGAAACAATATACATTTCCCATTGACTGGGTGCAACAAATGCGTTATCACAAAGTACACAACGCTCTCAGTCTATAGATATGTTTGTTGACAAACTGAAACTTCTATGTTAGACGGACATCATTATTTTTGTTTTAGTGGGATCTCGTGTGCGGGAATATCTTTTTCGCCCGCCTCCCCCAGTCTCTCTTCATCTTAGGGCAGGGTATTGGCGCTGTCACGGTTTCGGTAATGTCGGACAAATTCGGGAGGAAACCTTTCCTTGTAATGTCACACGTGTTGACCGCCGGTGCCGGGGTTGCCTTGGCGTTCGCCCCGAATATCGCAGCATTTACTGCTCTGAGAATGGTGAATGGAATTTTTCAACAGGTAATACTCATACTTATTTTCCACAAACAGATTGCAGCAGTTTGTTATGTTTTTATGAACGGCATTAAGTAACATTACAAGTACTTCCATAATCATATATCCATACCCTTACGGGAAGAAGATATGTCACCTGCTGCAATGTAATTACTCTCTCATATACATGGCCAGGTGTACTTGACCTTCAGTCACACCTTGGATGTGAAGAGACATTTGCATAATTTCTGACCGGTTCATTGAGAGTTCATTGGGATTAAGGTCGGTGTTCATTAATTCAAGTTCAGTAACTTTTGTTGAGACATAAACCTGATACCCTATCACGGTCAACAGTTAAGTATCCACACTCACTGCAGTAAACAGTGACTGACGGGATCGGGTGGTCAGCTTGGCTGACTTGGTTAATGTATGTTATCGTATCCCAGGTTCGTAGATCGATGCTCATGATGATACTCACTGGATTATCTGGTCCAGACTCGAGTATTTACAGACCGCCGTCATGTAGTTAGAATATTGCGACTTTACACGATAGACAAAAAAAATAAATTTACTTCAATCTTATACATGATGGACTAAGACGCTCAGGTAGCATTTGACGTTTATAAGTCCAGGGGTAAATGAGTTCCAAAAAGTCAAAATAAATTTAGATTAAAGGGATAATTATACTTTCCTCTCATTTTCTCTATTGTCAGCATAAAGACAACATGTCTCTATTGTCAGCATAAATATCTCACCTTGATAGTCATGGTGGTCTGATTGCCATCAACAACAAGGTAAAAGATTATAGCCACTGCATTAACTATGCATTTTGATTGTATTAGTCAAATGCTCCCGACAGTATCCATGTGTGATGGAGGTATAGCACCATAGATGCACAAATTGAATAACCTGAGGGAATTCTTTTCTGAATGATGTTCATATTAAGAAAGGTTCAAGGCTCGCTGATACGTGTTCCTGTAAATCCGATTGTTTTGGCTGATACAGGGCATTGTGGTGACAACAAGCACAATGGTGATGGAGTTATTTCCGATGAACCGGCGGGTAGGAGTATCTGCAGTGTTCGCCTTGGTATGGAGTTTCTGCACTATACTCCTCACGGGAACCGCCTACTTCGGTCGTGATATGGATTGGAGAACTCTGCAGCTCTGTTTTGTATCTGTATCCATCACTGTCCTTCTCCAGATTGTGTAAGTCCATTGTGCTGTTAATTCAAAAATCCGTAAAATATGCAATGCCGAAAAGTTATGTGGAAAAAAGAATCAGTTCATAGAAGGGTGCCATCCAAGTATTCCTTTTTCACAAACGTAATCATAATATTGCACAGATTATATCGCATCTTTTTCGTTTGACATGAACGTGTTTAATGTTGTTTATCAATTTACTGTGGTGCATATTGTGTGTGTGTGTGTTGAGTTGTGGGGGGGGATGGGGGTGGGGGGGGGTGGGGTGGGGGGGGGGTGGGGGGGGGGGGGGGAGGGGGTCAGTTTATTATTATTATCATTAAATCCTAACGCTGGGACATTTATCAACAGCGCAATAAAACAATTTCCGCTGATGTTTTCTGCTTCATTAAAACTAGTCTATTTAGAGACCCGTGAAGATCCAGGGTAGAATAGGTCTTCGGCAACCCAGCTAGCCGTCACAGGCGACGATGCCTGTCTTAAGAGGCGACTAACGGGATCGGTTGGGCAGGCTCGCTGACCTGGTTGATACCTGTCATCGTATCCCAGTTGCGTGGATCGATAATCATGATGTCAATCACTGGATTTTCTGGTCCAGACTCGATTATTTATAGACCGCCGTCATATAACTTGAATATTGTGGCGTAAAACAAACAACAATATATTTAGATGAATCAAAGTACGCATACCTTATAAAACATCCTTAATTGTATGCAGACTCTAAAGAACACCATGTAGGTGACATAAACATATGTACGCCTCATCAAAACGAAGAAAACAAGCGTTATATATATATATATATATATATATATATATATATATATATATATGCACTTATGACGTTTCAATTATTTAGCTTCATGGGGGAGTCCCTTCGTTGGTTGATAACGAACAAGAAGGCCAAAAATGCCATTGCTATATTCAAGAGGGCAGCCAGGATGAACAAGGTCGACGTGTCAAATGTAGCATTACCCGGTATTCGAGCTGAAAATACACCTGTTGAACTGAGCAGCACGAAACAGAAGTACGTTGAAACACCATCAGAAGTCGTGAAATACAGCTGCCTCGACTTGGTGCGGACCAGGTTTATGTTGAAGATCACTACTGTTGTGTGGTTTTCTTGGTGAGTATATCAACTTTATTAAGGGTGTCACCCAAGATTACCAGTGACACAAGGGCACATGAATACTGCGCTCTTTTGCTCCATACCAAAAAAATGTGTCTTAAAGGATTAAGAAATGTTGACGTCACGTCTACGTTGATTTGTGTACGGATATAACGAGCATAGCAAGTTGCATTGGTAGTTCCGTATATATGTCAGTTCACCCAATGCATCTCCAATGAAATGTCCGGTTGGGATAAGGAATACAATAGGCACCAAGCATTCTACTGCTGGTCGTAAAAGGTCAATTCTGAGGCAGAGGCAAATATTTCTTGCTGACCCTTTCTATATAGATCAGTTTCGTGGGGAACTGGTGCATTTTGATGATTTCGGATTTTTTGCTTTTTCTTTTCTTTTTTTTCATGATTTTGCAAGTTGTTTCCGGAGCATGACTCCAAAACCGTTAAGTGTTTCTTGTTGAGATCGATCAAATGGTGAAATGGTGCCTTTTCATGAATTGGGAATTTTTAAGTTTGTTTCCATGACGACAAGTTTGACTTATACTGAAAATGAGGGTTGGTCTCGTTACCGAAGTAGAACTACAAAACCGGTGCATATGTCTGGATCAAACTAGCTGTACGGATCAGTCTGGTGGTGACCTTTTGCCTTTTGATGATTTGTGATTTCGACAAATACTGAACAGGATTATTATTTTTTCAAGGAACTGAAGGTATCCAGTGGCAAGGAACCAAAAGGGGATAAAGTAGACCATTTCCGAATTGCAACAGACCAGGGATATGTCATCTCCTAATGACCCTTGTTTGAACATGCAAGACACATCGCCCATTATCATACTTAGCTGTCATAGTCACTAATTTGGTTCGAATCCGAGGCTCAACCTTCACAATACCACATCCAAATCAAAGGGTACACGCACCATATGTGTATCCCAGTTTTCGGTTGGACGCGCGAACGCATTGAATAGGCTTCCACACCGCCCAAATTATGATAGATGAAATGTGACAATGTTGCAGGTTGGTTGATAGCTTGACGTACTTCAGCCTCTATCTAACAGCTTCATCTCTGACTGATGACTTCTATCTGAACTTCCTCCTCAACTCGCTGGCTGAGGTACCAGCAGGTCCACTCTTCTGGTTTGTCGGAAGAAGGTTGATATCTACTTAACTGTCTGTTTCTGACTATCATTACAAAGACAATTTATTAAACTTCTTCTTAGTTTGATCAAGTGGCATTTTAGTGTTGGTATAATGACCAAGGGCGAGAGTTCTATGGATATACAACTTCTGTATTATGATGTATATATACTATCACCGTCATCAAGAAAATATTTATATATACTGAACAACAACAGTTCCTGTGACATTGAATAAGATCTAATGCAAAGTTCGATTTTTTACCAAATCTGAAACAATTTCGGTTTGCAACAAATAAAAGACTCCTGTTAGTGTTCAAATGGTTTAATTTGCCATACTGGCATACAGAAAATGCATGATTTCATAAAAAAAAACATGAGCATGCCAAAATGTCAATTTACAAATCAATAGCGTGTGTGTCCACCTCTGCTTGCTATGCAAGCAAAACATCTTCGTCTCATGGAATGGACCAGGCGTCGCACAAAGTCCTGTGGGATATCTGTCCATAACTGATGGAGGACGTTCCTGGAACACGTGGTTGACGTCGAAGGCACCGATCCATCTCATCCCACAGGGCCAGGGGATGACATTCACGTTGTTTTGTTGAAGAGAGTCCTGGACAAGTCGAGCAATATGAGGCCGGGCGTTGTTATGTTGAAAGGTAATGCCTAGGCAATGACGACGTAAAAACGGTAGAACAACAGGCCCGGATTATCTCGTCGCGGTAGCGCTGTCCATTGAGATTTCCCTCTACCACTATCAAACGGGTCCTCTGTCTTGCTGTAATCCCGTCCCATACCATAACGCTGCCGCCCCCGAACCGATCTTCCTCCATGACACAATGATTGACGTAACGTTCACCTCGACGTCGGTACACTCGAATCCGACCATCGCTGTGGCTTAGGTTAAAACGAGACGCTGTCTTCCCTATTGTAGACGTGCTTGACGGTGGTTTTCTGTCAAAATAGGACGTCTGGCGGGTCTTCTGGCGACATTCCCTGCACATCTGAGGCGACGACGTACGGTATGTGAAGATATTCGTCGAAGGCCAGGGATGTTTTCACTGTTGCTGAATGGAATCGATTTCGTAGGTGTGTTTTTCGAATCCAGTTGTCTTGTCGATTATTGGTTACGCGTGGCCTGCCATTCTGAGGATGGTCTCTGACTGCATTCGTCTGTTGCCAACGTTGCCATAAACACCTAATGGTGTTTCTGTGGACGTTAAATTGTCTTGCAACATCACGTTGACTCGATCCTGCTTCAAGCATACCAATGGCTCGCAGACGCTCATTTTCGGACACGCGTGGCATTTCGTAATGTTGAATAATGGCGTAATTATGTTGTTTTTCTGAGTGGTTGTTGTCAGCACGATGCTAAACAATTGCATATGGAATCCCGTTAAATCACATGTTTTTGTACCCATTCTTGGGTAGTGAAATGCATGGGGCTTCCATTAAAGTTAACTTTAGCATGGAATGAATGCTTTTCTGTAGCAGTTGCGTTTTTGTGACTTGATTCCATACATGAACTACAATATTAAAAACCAAACTTTACTTGTTTGAAAAATAATATAAATATTGGTGTCACAGGAACTAATGTTGTTGAGGAGAGAGAGAGAGAGAGAGAGAGAGAGAGAGAGAGAGAGAGAGAGAGAGAGAGAGAGAGAGAGTGAGAGAGAGAGAGAGAGAGAGAGAACTATATTCCTTGTTCTTTTTAAAATTCCTAGTATGGGAGGTCCAGGGACATTAAGTCACAAGTCTTGTGCAGTTTCATTGTTCGTGGTTTCGAATCCAAGTTTCACCACGATAATTATTTGTCCTCGTCATAACCGTGTTTCTGGGTTCCACGATATCAATGTGGTAAACACCTGCGATCTAGGCATGCGTCACTTCGGGCTATCCTCCTACAGTTATCTAACACGCGGTGATATTACTAAGTATTGTTACCAGCGGCGTTAAGACCAACTTACTGTTTTTTTATTTTTAAAAATTAATGTCATTTTCCAAGTGTTTGGTTAATGCATTGGCAATATTCGTATGTTTGTGTTGCACATATACTCTCTGTGGGGAATAACACTGCTTATATTGATCTCTCTATGTGAAATAACACTGCTTATACTGACTGTTCTCTCAATGTAGATGGGGAAGGAGAATATTCTTCATTACTTTCCATAGTGTTGCCGGTGTGTGTCTTCTCATGGCTACAGTAATCAAAAGCTTGGCGGGTGAGAGTAATTAATATCACTAAATGTATGCACAATTATATTATGTATTAATTACATAAAAGTTAAGTATAACCTGTTCTCCAGTGTTGGGTATGTGATGTATTGTACCGATCTTCATGGTATACTTCTGGAAACGACATGTATCATGTAACGTTGTGAACCACATGTATCATGTAACTTTGTGAACCACATGTATCATGTAACGTTGTCCACGACATGTATCATGTAACGTTGTCCACGACATGTATCATGTAACGTTGTCCAAGAAAAGGGTAGGGTCGTGAAGATCCGGGGTAGAATAGGTCTTCAGGAACCTATGCATGCCGTAAAAGGCGACTATGCTTGTTGTAAGAGACGACTAACGGGATCGGGAGGTCAGGCTCCCTGACTTGGTTGATAAATGTCATCGATCCCAATTGCGTGGATCGATGCTCATGATATCAATCACTGGATTGTCTGATGCAGACTCGATTATTTACAGACCGCCGTCATATAGCTGAAATATTGCCGAGTGCGGCGTAAAACAACACACAAACAAGAAAAGGGTAAGCATGTCCTGCTCTACCGGTAGCGCCCGCCGCACGGTTTGATAAGCAGTGAAGTTTATTCATGAATATGCAGCATATGCGTATGGTGTGCACATGCATTAACCGTTTACAAGTAATGTATTTACAAATATACTTTCATAGGTAAATTTCTCTTTAAATGGTTGGATGTATTCCATTAGTGGTAAATAGAAGATATCGAGGTTTGTGAAAGGTTGGATCAACATGGGAATATTTAGGATACATTTTCCACTGCTTTCTCTTCAAAATGGACTCACTATTTGCGTCAAAAGACAAAGCGTTGTTTGTTCATTGACTGACGCAAAAAGGTCCCATGGAAACACTAACCGACGATCAAATACTGGATACTTTGACCTGTTTCAGCTGGCCAAGTCGCACTGACGTCATCTACAGTCTTGGCCTTCATTGGAAAAGTTGGAAACGCCGCCTGTTTTAACGGGATGTTTGCGTATACGCCGGAGATCTATCCAACGAATCTCAGGTTGTTTTAAACAAACAGAAAACTAGCCTAAATATCTTAGGATATGTAAAAGGCACATGACCTTCTGAAACTAGGCGTGGCTGTTCATATACTACAATGTTCTGATATACCGATATGTTCATACTGTGCATATATCATAGATATTTCTGCCTATAGATCAATTGGTATGGGATCTGGATCGACTGCCGCCAGGGTTGGAGGAATGATCGCGCCTTTCATATCTATTCTTGTAAGAACCCATTGAACATCCTATCCTATTCTTTAATATTTTCTCTCATTTCAATTGATCCTGATTTATAATTACATGTCCTTATGATCCAAAGAATACCGTTGTCTCAAACTAACTATGATATGCAGTAGAACTGTCATTGTCCATATGCAATGGTAGTGAAAACACTACATGCATTTATTGCATTGGTTTCTACATGCATGAAGATGATGTGACAATTTTGATGTGTTCTTTTTCAGGCAGCTATTGCTCCCTGGGCTCCTGGAACTATTTTCGGGATAGCCTGCTTGGTAACAGCCGCGCTCAATTATATGCTCCCTGAAGCAGAGGGACGAGAACTTCCCCAGACAATTGAGGACGTCAAGGCGTGGGGTAAAGCGCCCGCAAGAGGTTAACGCTACTTCAATAAAACAAAGCTGTACGCGTTGGAATAATAATATCCAAAGATATGCGAATAGTTCAAAACCATCTTCAAAGAATCATCAGCGTGAACACTTCAGTGTCAGACGCAAGAAATTGTAAATTATACATTATTCGAAGTTACGATTTTCATGTTATGTAATTTTTATTTTCAATATCCATTTTCAGTGAAATATGTGTGAACACAGCACAGTCAAATAGAGATTCATAACCAAACCAGCCTACATGTGCATGAATAATATTCATGATGTCATATTCGTAACACCAAAAGCATCTATTCCAAGATAACTCCTACACTGTAACCATTTCGTGACTCGAACCAGGCTTTGACGAGCAAATGCTGTAACCACCAGCTGACTCCAAGCCCCGTTATCGTTAAAGTGGAATGGTTATATTTAATACTAATCAAGCATGTTGTAAGGGTCGTAGTCAGGCTTAGTTGCCATTTGTAAACTGAACTTCTTGAACGACTAACCACTTACGTTGTACACGGACCAATGCCTTACGCTACATGGTCTTTATCTTATTAGTCAATTATAAACAGTTAGCTTCGTGTACACATTTGAGGAGTATGAAGCTCGTCTTATCTCTGCTGTTCGCAGACATAATGCACACCTTAGCAAACGTTCAGCGCCAACAAGTGTAAAAGTTGATAGCTGACGGTATGTAAGGCAATATGTCAGACTATGTTCCACGTTCCACGTGGGTCTCAGCGGTTGATGAGTGACCCTCGTATGTTTGAAATCATGTGACTATATCCGGCACCGAAACAGCATGAAGGATATCAAGATATCATCTTTAAGAGAGATATAATTTCATGTTGGCAATAGTGCACTACCCACAAGAGCTGAGTTGCACGAGGCGATATGAGCGCTCAGACGATCGTCTTTACCACACATCGACACAACCGTATCGCTTAGGTCGTAAATATATACAATTCTCCAAGGTCCAAATTGACAACTACGGGTCAAATGGAGACATGCTCCAACGTGTACACAGTCAGGTATATGTTGGCTCGAGTGATAATGACAATGTTGTGACTCGATCAGTGGTATTGTCCCCCATTAAAGCCATACTTGTATTATTATCAGAAACATAAGAAATGTCTGTTAATAGTAGATTTGGTATTAGAGAATAATGGTCTAATAACTCCATATGTTAAAGGATTCAAGCAAACATGTTACATTATCATGTTTGGTTCTTTTATAGTATTATGTATAACGCTTGATGTATTGACTATATATATAACTAGTTACATGTAATAGAGTTCGAGTTAACGCAAATATGCTTTAATGCATACATGGTTATTGATTGTAGATGTTGACGTATGGTATGACTCCTATAGCTGCCTTGTGTTTTTACGCCCTTCAGATCTTTTCCGTTTATTGGTATTTGAGTGAGTGAACATGATTATTAACTCCAGCATTATCGCAGTGTGGAACACCAAGAATGGAATTCAAACATCGCAACCATGAGGGGAATCGAATTTTCGGCCTCCCCACCACCCCACACTGTGTGTAAAATGCATTATTGGACGTAATTTTTTTTAATCAGGTAAAACTATGCAGCTTACTTTGTGGATATACTGACCGTTGTTATAGAAATGAAGTGAATGTAAACTCCCCGTAGAATAATCAGAGACAATAAAATGAATATTGTTATATTTTTCCCCTTTGTTTTATTTACGCATTAACATGTTAGGAAAAGGGTTGGACAAACTTTAATTCTAATTTTGATATTTCATTTCTTGATCACTTAGAAGCCTTGTTCAATATAAAAAAATGATTGCATGTGGACATAATTCATGTGTGTTGAAAGTTCTGCTGCAGTGGATCACTAATGCCACATTTTCACACCAGCAACACAAACGCAGGTGGCGCAGAGCTCGTATTTAAAGGATCATACTGTGTAAAGTTGCGCGTTATTTTGTACGACCGAAGTTTGAAGTAAATCTAATGTAACAGTGCAGACGTTCATATGTATACTTTCAAAGATCAGAAACATTAAAACCGCGAGGTTAGATCAAGCAATCAATATAGAGCATACATTAATCTACTCACGTATGACATCAAGATCAAATTTCAGCACCTGAAGCTGAAGTGGCCAGTTTACCTTGTTTTGACTTTGCCAATCCGAGCGGAAATTCCGATTCAAATACATAAAAAAACAGATCCGCAAGAAGGGAAACAAAATTGGTGAAATCGTAATGTCAGTAAAATTATCTGAGTGTAATTAAGAAAGTTTCCATAACTCTTGAGCACCACCGGATATGATAACGATCAGATGTATCTGGACAGTGATAAGGTGGTCTGAAGTTCTCTTTCTATTGCTAATGTATCATGGTGGCCTACACCTTGCTTAACTAATTTGGGGCCAATACTTTTCTCTGAATAAAACCAGATTTATATGCATAGTTGTCTGTTACATCGCCCAGTTTACATCTTGGGGCAAGCTGTAACTGCTTATCCCTACAGCTTGGCGGATAGACGGGAATGATAATTGCATTGGAATCAAATGTTATGCAGCCACTTGACAAATCAGGCCGATCGCATTGTTGATGGTTGTGTTGTGCTGCTTCATGGCGGAAAATTAGGTTCGTTTATGTGTACTAGTTTATAATTTATATGTTTCAAGAGGATGATATAAACTGAGGAGCAAAAGAAACAATATGTCTCTCAGTTGATTTCATCATATGAGGGCGGTCGGGAAGCCTAGTGGTTAAAGCGTTCGCCCGTCACGCCGAAGACCCGGGTTCGATTCCCGACATTGGTACAACGTGTGAAGCCCATTTCTGGTGTCCCCTGCCGTGATATTGCTGGAATATTGCCAAAAGCGGCGTAAAACAATACTCACTCACTCATCATGATTGGTATTTAAAAAATCTTTAGTTAGCGATCAACCGTTTGGTGGAATAGATGGAATTATGATCATAGATTTGCTAAGTATTTTATGATATTTATGCTAGATATAAAACAACAACTTTGGTTTATTTTTACAGTATTCGCACAATAAGTAGGATTAAACTGATACATTAAGTAACCATTACAATTAACTTTATTTGATGATTATATATCAAAGTTTGCTAAATTATAGAAAAATGTTTAAGTCACAAGTAGCAAGGCTACTCATGCTCAACATGCTGGGCACACTATAACTGGACAGAGGACCTTTCCTTCGCCCACCAGTAACAGCAGCCATTTTACTCGTTGTGGGGTCTGGCTTGGCACGAATGGTTGGGGAACCGCAGGGTGCTGAGTGATGGTACAGACGGATGAACTGCAAACCCATATTCACCAAAGTACGATGGATATCATAGAAATCTTTGAAAATCAATACATTGTTTCGACATAAATATACATTGCAAGCATTGTACGAGTTATTTGAAAATATTTGAACACAAAACTTCCCCAGCCACATATTACTGTTTACCAACCGTTGCAGGAATGAGACATATAAATAGACATAATCAGAATTTAGAACAGTTCTGTCAATGTCCAATTACATAACACCTAATCTTGGTATACATGTACTTTCTTTTCAAGCGACTCAGTTATTTACATATTGTTTAGCATAACGCGAACCAATGGAGTGCAAATTATCAGTTTATTATATCAGTCATATAAATTCAAGATTAAAACACTCAATACAATAAAACAGATTGACTTCAATATGTTTTTGCGCATATGAAGGGCACCTGGGCCCAAAATCCAGTTAAGATATAAAAGAGGCATAGAGTGGGTCTAATATAGTGGTTGCAAAGTTAAATTCATCCTGAAACATCACATTCCTTAATACATTTGTTATTTCATTAAAATGGGACACGACAGATACGGGTGGATACAATACCCACCTTATCATGTCAGCTCAAGGTAGGTTTGATATAAAAAAATAATTATTCGGTAGGTTTGTAAACATTCGAAGTTAAAATTGCTGTAGTGGGAAATATTTACGTACACGACAATCAAGGTGTTCTCGTCTCCTTGCTTTTGTACAATCATCTATTTATATCCGTATGAATCAATTAATAGTTACAGTTGAATAATAATGTAAATTGGTGAAATTTTTTATGAATTTCAATATGTTTTGGTTTATGATACGCAAAAGGGAGGCCATATATTGTTTTGTGTGGAAGTATTGTCATCTCACGAATACCAACCATTTACAGTATGCAGTTTACATTAGAAAATGCGTCAAAACTTACAATCTCTTCTGCAATGTATCACCTATACAGCGACGGCATTAGTTATGTGATTTGTCACAGACATGCATAGAAGTTGCTATCCTCATAATACGGTTTTATACTTTTTTTACTGGGTATGGATCAATGGTAATTTGTTAAGTTTAGCGGTCGCTGTCCATTCTTTGAGTTCTCATCCCTGAAGTTAAATATGCTTCATACCCGATATAACGCCTCCACATACTATTGGGCCACTCACTGAACGTTATTGATAAGGAGCTTCGGAAAGAATACCGGTCTCATTTCCAATCGAAGATGGCAACGCAGGAGGAAAGGAACCGGGACAGGCAGGACAAGACAAAAGCTGTTATATGTTTTGATTTGGAAAAGGTGTTGAGTTGTCCACAGGCAAATATTTCAACTTTCTTTTATCGACGAAACTTTAGCATTTACAACCTTACAGCCCATTGTTCTCTGGATTCACAAGGATAGTGTGCTGTATGGAATGAAACCCAAGCAGGAAGAAGTGCCAATGAAATTGCCAGTGCACTCATTTTAATCTTTCAGAAAGTAGTAGAAAAGCCCAATCCAGATCACATCATACTTTGGTCACACTCATGCGCGGCACAAAACCGGAATTCAGGAATGTCATTTGCTGTAAAGGATTTCATGATGAAAGAACAAATTTCTGCGTTTGGGCGATCGGTTTTATTGTCATCTTCTTTGTTTTTTAATCATCAAAATTCATTTTTCCGGACAAAGTAATGTTAGTTTTTTAAAACTTTTTAAACATGTACACTGTACACTTTATCTTTGGGCGACACCAAAAATATGTTCTTTATTTTCTTATAAATTAGAAGGTTTGGTCATTTGTTTATAGTTATGTATCAACTTTGACCGTGTATGACTGCAAAATAAAAGTGTGGTTATGTATGCTTGTAATATATGGTAATGTCGCCCAAAGGTAGCAATATACCATAGTGTTGACCAACGGTAGCCTTTGCCATGTGACGAACATTAGCCATGATAGAGGGTATTCATTCAACTTGAAGACCTAATATCTAACATACCGATTCAACAGCGAGCAAATAAAGAAAAAATTAAGAGGCATACTACTCAAAAAGAATCGTTGTTCCATGAAGAGAATCAGACGCAATCACTAAACGTAATTGAAGCGATAAATTCCAATGAACTTAACAACCAACACATTGATAGAAATACCGAGAGCGTGCGCGTCAACACTCAGGTGTTATCATTGATGGGGACTGTGTTTAGCTTCAGCTTAATTGGCGGAGTGCTGTTTGAGGACACGATGTTTACAGGCGACGACAACGAAGACGCTGAACAAGCAGGCCATGACATAAGCTTGTTTGGCTCTCTTCTAATTATGAATTTCAACAAATCTATCACAAAACTGCAAACGAGTGACTTCAAATTTAACGTCACATAGGCACTATTTCACTGTGTCTGGGGCCCCCAGATTCAGTGAAGAAATATCTGAAGTATTGAGTGGGTCTAATGTAGTGGTTGCAAAGTCACACTTGTACTAAAACATCGCATTCCTGAATTCACTTGATTTTTTTTAAATGGGACACAATAGATTCGGGTGTAATACACAGCCACCTTACCCTCAAAGAACAACATACTATTGTAGTGATCTGCGGATCACTGGTTTAAACATTTGTGTTACCTCCTTCTCAAATGTACTAAGCAGTCACAATAGTCACAAGAAGGAAGAATATTACTTGTTAAGGATACGTTACCTTATCTCTGTAATTCGTGTATACATAGTATATTTTCACTGAAAGGTTTCCCTAAACATGTCTGGCGCATATCATTTACTGTTTAGAACTATGTGCTTTCCATCCTACATGTCAGCACAAGGTAGGTTTGATATGATTAATCGTTATTCGGTAGGTTTGTAAAACTTCAAAGTTTTAAATTACTGGGAAATAATAATGTTCAAGACAATCAATCTGTTCTATATGATCATATCCTGAAACAATGTGAAAGATGGTGCCTCTCCTTGCTTTTGCACATTTATTTATATTAGTATGAATTAATCAATAGTTCCAGTTGGATAGTAATGTACATTGGTGAAATTATTTATAAATTTCAATATGTTTTTGTTAAAGATACGCAAAAGGTGGGCCATATTTCTTTTGTGCGGAAGTATTGCCACTCGGAATGCATTAAAAGTGGATTAGATTTAGGCTCAACTCGTGGGCACAAAGTGAAGTTCATTCATAGACTGTTATATAAGGGTAACTCTTTTTTCAGGGCATTATCATTTGCAGAAGCCCGAGGTCTTCTGCAAATGATAATGCCCTGAAAAATAGCGTTACCGTTATTATAGCTAAAAATGGATTTTGCTATAAGATAAAAAGAAACAACAATATCGGTTTGGAAACATTAACTGCAATCAACACGAATGTCACTGACCCACTTTTACAAGTATGGA